AGACTTGGGTGTACATCAGCATCTAAAGGTCAAAGGTCGCTCTTTCGAGGATTCCATTGTTGCCATCCTTGGACAGAGGGGGTGGCTTACGACATCAGCCGTCTGCTACCTACAATACAGTTTTAAGATCACTTCAGGCACCTCAGGGCCCACTCACATCTTGCATCAGTTGATCTCAATAGGCCATAATCGGGTGAGCCCAGATCTTACAATGGTTTCAAATGAAAATTCTGCTGATGATGACCTACGCCCTTTTCACGTAATCAATAGTGGGTCAAGTTCCTAAGGGACACCTCCCACTAGAGTTGAAATACCCGGCTTTCTTCACCATTAGGTTTTAGAACCAGAGAAGCTTGTCGGATAAAAGGTGAAACATCTTCTAGAAATATAAACGAGTCTGGTCACTGTGAGGAAACGTTTAATGGTGTTAAATGTCACCATTTATTGGTCAGTAGGAGCTTTCTGGGTAAAATAATTTTTTGGGTTTTTTTTTTGTTTCTGATTATTCTGTTGATGGTTTGTTGCTGATTAAAGACACAGTCATGGGAGAGCCGAGATCAAAGGGTGGTGTTATGTAGTTTCCATCTGTGCTGCAAATACTAAACGTCTCACTGCACAATCTGGACTTGCATCTCAAACATTTGCATATTATTTTGGTATCACACGTTTGATAAAAGGACAAATTCTGAATATGAAAGCAGGCAACCATCTGAATTAAAGAGTTGGCTAATTAGGCCTAGTTCTTTATCGAACAAGCTTTTGATTTAAAAAAAAAAAAGTGTCATTGTTGATTTAAATGTAATTTTTATGGTTGAAAGTTTGTTTGGATGTAAGTAACCAGTGTAATAGTATCTGTTTTTGATATTCTGAAGTTGTTCCTTAATCGAAACAGTCAGTCTGTCCCAGGGCAGCTGTGGCTACAACTGTAGCTGCCTCCACCAGTGTGTGAATGTGAGAGTGACTGAATAGTGGAATTGTAAAGGGCTTTGAGGGTCTCGAAAAGCGCTATATAAATGCAATCCATTATTATTATTATTATTATTATTATTATTATTATTATTAAATTTGCTGGAATGTATTTGCTCAGATCTGTTTTCCTGTCATCACATTAGTAACTTTTTTCTTGTGTCACTTTGTTCATCAAGACATCCCACAGCAACATGAAGTGTAAGGACAAAGAAGTTCGTGATGATCAGCAGGTCTGTAACCAGGAGATGAGCTCCAGTGTGGACCAGGAGAATCCTGATCTTCCACCGATTAAAGAGGAACAGGAGGAACTCTGCATCGCTCAGGCAGGAGAGCAGCTTGTAGTGAAACAGGAGGCCGATGGCATCATTTTCTGGACCGGGGAAGAGCGCCTCAGGCTGCTGGATGTCATCTGGAGTCCTGAAAGAAATTTACTACACAGATCAGGTATGCAGCTGTGCTGTAGAGAACACACGCACACACTGGAACTGTCATGGTGAAACACCACAAACCTGACGAAAGCACCACTAAACTGAGAGTGCAGATGAAAATTAGCCTATATAGCTAAATTTGGCTAAATTAAATTAAATTCATTAATATGCACAGTCTCTTTTAAATAAAATATATATAAACATAATAAGTATATGACCAAAACAAGTGAAAGTGATGCTTCAACAAATCCAAGTAAACAAACTGAGACGTCAGAGTCATTTGCAAGTATGACTGCTTGCGAAAAGAGCTCACAAAGGCACCAGGAGGCAAAAATAAAATGCTACAGAATACTACCTCAGTAAAAACATAATTTTTCAACATCTCCTCTAAATGTTGGCATATTTGTGGAAATGAGCTTGTTCCAGTGGGTTTCTAGGCTCAGCCCAGAAGGACCTCTGTAATTTGAGACGGACTCTGAGTGAACTTTTCTTCAAAGGATCCAGCTGAGGTGGTACAAAAATCAGTTAAAGTGGCAGATAATTTTCAGCTGTAGTATTAGAAAAGACATTAGCAATGATCCTACACAAGCAGCTGTTGTCTACTCATATGGAAAAGGTCATTAAACAATTTGGAGTCCATCATTCTACAATGAGAAAGATTAGTCACAAGTGGAAAACATTCAAGGTAGCTGCCATTCTTTCCAGTTATTGATACCCTAGCAATTACATCTCAATGTTCAATGAAATTTCAAGAAATTCAAGAGATACATCCCAGACTGTAAAGGCCTTAGTTGGCATGTTAAAGTTCATGACAGTACAATTAGTAAAAGACTAAAAAAAATTGGGGTTGTTTGGAAGAGTTGCCAGGAGAAAGGCTAATCTCG